CCTTGGTTATAGTTAATGCTGCCTGCTCTAGAAGCAGTTCAAGGCTTTTAACAGTTTTAAAGCAAGGATCGTGGAACTCCCTTAAATTTTTTGTCCAACTTTAACGTGGCTGTATAGTCGCGGCACCAGGGCTGGGACAGAGGTCTCCCAGCTCTGTAAAAAACCCACCCCTACGAGGGGAGTAGCTCCCAGCGCTGTCTATACTGCCACTTTACACGCTGAAACTTTCAGCACTTGGGGTGTTTTTTCACACCCCTGCACGAGAAAGTTGCAGCACTGTAAACTGGCAGTGTAGACAAGGCCGTAACAATTGGCTGAACAAGAAGTAGGACTGAGTGGACTTGTAGGCTCTAAAGTTTTACATTGTTTTGTTTTTGAGTGCAGTTTGTAACAAAAAAAATCTACATTTCTAAGTTACGCTTTCACGATAAAGAGATTGCACTACGGAACTTTTATGAGGTGAATTGAAAAATACTATTTCTTTTATCATTTTTACAGTGCAAATATTTGTAATAAAAATAATATAAAGTGAGCACTGTACACTTTGTATTCTGTGTTGTAATAGAAATCAATATATTTAAAAATGTAGGAAAACATCCAAAAAAATTTAATAATTGTCAATTGGTATTCTATTGTTTAACTGTGTGATTAATTGCGATTAATTTTTTTAGTTAATCATGTGAGTTAACTGTGATCGACAGCCCTAGTCTTTTTGTTCCTCTGTAAAGCACAAGTGTGTTCTTGAAATGCTTAAATTAAAAACTGCCTATATCTGAGGTGCTCGAAGTTAAAATCTGAAAGGTTACAGATAAATATAAAGCTTATAATTGTGAAACTCAGTTTTTTGGGGGGTTGATAGATTTTTAAAGGCAAAAGGGACCCATTATGATCATTTAGGCCTTGGCTACATTTGCGAGTTACAGCGCGATAAAGCAGCCCCGGGCACCCTAGCTCACTCCCCATCCACACTGGCAAGGCACGTAGAACGGTTTGACTCCGCAGCTACAGTGCTGCTGGTACTGCACCTCGGCGAGTAGAATAACGTTTGCTGCGCCCCCGCTGGAGCGCCGTGGTGCCAGTGTGAACGAGGTGTTGCGTTACTGCGCTGCGATCAGCCTCCGGAAATGTCCCATAATCCCCTTAAGTCAAGTGGCCACTCTTGTCATTATTGTGAAATCGGCCGCAGGAATGCGGAAATGCCCTTTTAAAGCTCCCTTTGGGAGAAGCCGGCTGCTTATCAGCTCCGCAAAAAAGCAAACATTTACTGTTTGCTTTGAATGAGTGAGAGAGAGGCAGGGAGGAGGGGGGCCTGAACTTAAAAGACAGCATGCTGACACACTCTCAGCACCCCAAAAACCCACTCTCCCCCCACATACACACAACACATTCCACCCCACCCCCCATTTGAAAAGCACGTTGCAGTCACTTGCATGCTGGGATAGCTGCCCATAATGCACTGCTCCCAATGCTGCTGCAAGTGCTGCAAATGGGGCCATGCCAGTGCGCTTGAAGCTGTCAGTGTGGACAGACTGCAGCACTTTCCCTACTGCGCTCTACGAAGGCGGGTTTAACTCACAACGCTCTACATCTGCAAGTGTAGCCATTCCCTAAGTTTTATAGCGTACATAACACAGGCCATAGAGTTCACCCAGATTCCTGCATAAAACGTTACTTGTAGTTGCCCCAGCACACTTTTTTTGTAATATAAAGATCTCCAATCTTCATCTTTAAGCTAAGTGTCAGAGCTGGGACTAGTAGCCAGGGCTGCCATGTCCCAGTCCAGCACCTTATCCCCTGGACCTTTCCTGCTGCTCTAGGAGCAGACCTCCTTGAGTATGGGACCACTCCGTGCTTAACTTTAAACATGTGCGTTTGTGGGAGGTGTTTTTGGGGGGGATGAGCCAGTTGATGAGGAGGACTTCTGGCCACAGATAAAACGTCAACATTTCTGAAAATGAAGTGCTCATAACTCCTCCTTTTCAAATAACTAGGAAAACTCTATGCTAATAGTAAACTGGCAAACTTGTAAAGCAGCAGGTTTTTTCTGATGTCAGCAGCCATCTTATAAGGGGGTGAACAGACTTCCCACCAGATTTTTTTTAAAAGCAGGCTTAGCAGGAGGAAGCACTAATGTTAAAAACAAATGATGGTGTCTTGGTTTTTTTTCTGGTTCTGTTAATTTCTGCTCAGACTGTGTACACCACTTACTAAAGGAGGAAAGTGGGTCCAGGGCCCTGCTCTGATTTCTCTTTACACTGATGTAGCCCCATTGACTTCAGTGGGGTTCTAGTTCTCGGCAGGATGAGATCAGAATCACAGCCAGTGTCCACAATAAGATAACCTTTACTTGCTTTCACAAATAAAGTCACTTCTTGGCAGCCACTGCCACCGGCTGTTCAAGAACTGCTAATTGTAATTAATTTTTTTTTTTTCATATGCAACTTGTTGACTGTGTGAGGAGAAACTTTTCACTAAGAGCTTTCAAAACCCTGACCTCTGTTTTGCTGGTGTAAATCGAAGTAACTCCTTTGATTTTAATGTCTTTTAGTGGTACAGGGAACAGAATTTGAGCTGCCAGCACAAAGCAAAATGAATACAGCTTTCATAACTGGAGTGCCTTTGTGTGCTTGTATGTAATACACCCTGTGCTTCGCTTCCTCTTCCCCATGGGCCCTCTGTGCCCCATGCTCACATACTTTCACACAAAGGCCCCCAGTCAGTCACCATCCTTCCAGATGAAGATGGGATCTCTGAGGGTCTGATCCAGCACCCATTTGAGTCAATGGAGAGGTTCCCAATTGACTTCAGTGGTCATTTGGATCAGTCCCCTAAACAGCACTACTGGGCCTTTCTTTACTGGGTCCCAGAATCAGTCAGGTTCTCAAGTATGTGTCTAACTTCTAGCATAGGAGTAGTCCCATTTCTGAAGTTAGACACTTGCTTAAGTACATTGCTGAAGTGGGGCCTGTTTAGGGAAATGCTGCTTAGCATTTCCAGCCCAGGACAACCAGACAGCAAGACATCAAGTCTGGGATTTGCAATAATGCTTTACTTGTATTATAGCAATTTTAAATATATTTTCTTTTAAAGGGTGATACTACTACAATAGTAATGTAATTGGCTTCTGAAATATTGGGGCTACAATTCACAGATGGTAAAATGTGAGGGAAGAGACAGGTATGGCTTAGTACCTTTTACACAGAGAACAGTCTTGCAACTGAACAACCTATTTATAAAGAATTTTTAAAATTATGGGTAGAGTAATGTGAGCCACAAGACTAAGTCCACTTACATCTTACTGAATATCTTCCACCCAGGGGTCTGTGTTTTGATTTGGTGGTGTGGGTGAGGATGGCATGTGACTGTGTGCACTGCAGCAAGATTGATAGAGACTCCTTCTTCCCCACCTATCTATCCCCCAGGCTGTTGACTATCTTGTTCCACAGTAGTGGATAGCACCTGTCCTACCGGATAGATTGTAGGAAAGAGGTTGTTAACTTTTTAGTTGTGCTAAAAGTAACATTTCGCATTCAGTGAGTTCACTAAGTGTATGTTGACATAACTGTGCAGCTACAGCTGTGCTGCTACAGCCGTGCTGCTACAGCCGCACTGCTAAAAGGCACGCAGTGTAGCCACTGTTTGCCAGCAGGGGAGAGCTCTCCTGCTGACAAAGCACTGTTCACACTAGCGCTTTTCGTTGGCAAAATTTTTATTGTTTGGGGAGGTAGGGGAGTGGGTTTCACACACCTGAACAACAAGTTTTGTCGTTCAGGTTCCAGTGTTGACAAAGCCTAACTTACATTTTGCTCTGATGCTGAGTGTAAAAATTCAGTCCTATATACGTGGTTGATGATCCATTGCCTTACAGCTTGTAGCTACTTACTTTTTTACAGATGTAAGTGTAAATCAGAGTGGCAGCATTTTACAGTTATTTTGCACAGGTCTAAACAACTAGAACAATACTGTGTTTTGTTAATTAGCGTCATTCAAACTATTTTCAGTCATTTCTAAACAGCTTTTCCATATGTGCATGGAAGGGGAAAAAACCTTCCCATTACGTTAGTTGCCTTAGTGGGATGGGTCTCTTTTGTTCATGGGACTCTTTTTTTTTTTTTTTCTTCCTAATAGGTTGACTGATGATTCAAATCCAACATTTCTGCTTCTTTCTCCCCAGTAACTGTGTATATAATGACATTGGATTAAATAGTTTTATACTTATAACAAAATTACTTTTTACCCATTTCCCACAAGAGACTGAAGTGAAGGGAGAAAACACTGAAAACCTCTTGGTTTTATGAACACACAAGAGAATAATCTTTGTTCTACCACTACGATGCCAAAAATAGAAAAAATTCAGACGCACGAAGCATTCTCCTCAATTATTTTTATTAAAACTTAGCTTCCTAGAGGAAACCGGTCTTTAAAGATTCTGTTTAACTGAGAAATAGGAGGTTCCCAATTTACAGAATTGGCCTTTAGCACCTCTGGCACCAGTATTCAGCCTTTTCAATTAAGGTTGTGACTTCTGAAAACCATGCTTCTGGCACAGCTGATAAATTCTATTCAGAAGAAGGCTAAGAATGAACGGAAAGTTTACTTAAAATTAAATGTCTCTTGGGAAGGGGCTACTCATCAAATTGAGTGTGAAGTAGTGTGGGAAAGGTGGGTTTTTTTTATTTTCTCTGAGAAAAAGACTCTATTAAAACCATCACAATTACAACTGAATATAAGGCAGAGAATGAGAACAAACTATCCTGTTTACATGAAAGCTGTTTAAAATTATGTTGGCTCAGCCATTGGAATTTATACTTCTGAGTGACTCCCAGAAAATCTTTGTTGCTTCCCCCAGCTTAACAACTGTACAAGATTTAAAACAGGAAATTACACAAACATTGATGTAGTTGAGACTTATGACAACTGTTTTTTTTTTTTTTTTTTCCCTCTCGAAGGAGAAATAGGTGTGTTTCTCTATTTAACTTGTCTTTATCTCTGTTTTTCAGATAATCGTAGGAGAAGGCCTGTCTGTCTATTATAACTGTTTGCACTCGAATTCGTTTGTCAGAAATAACTACATAGCCACTATTTACAAAGCCATTGGGACCTTCATTTTTGGTGCGGCGGCTAGCCAATCCCTGACGGACATTGCCAAGTACTCCATAGGTAGACTGCGACCCCACTTCCTGGCTATATGCCAACCAGATTGGACACGAGTCAACTGCAGTCTAGGTTACATTGAAAACTTCCCATGTCAAGGAGACAAAGTACAAGTTAATGAGGGAAGGTGAGTAAGCTAATGTACTTTGGTCTTGAAGGATATTATCTTGTATTGTAAATCCCTGGAGACAATGAGTGTTTGATGGATTGATTTCTCCTATTACATGCTCCATGAGTCCACTGGAATGGATTTAGTGATCTAATAGACATACAGTGAACCTCAAAGCACATGCTCAGGCACTAGACTATCTTCTTTTTTTATCTCTCCTCCTCTTTCCCCTAAAATCACAAATTTATTCTTTATAAGCTATAGGATGGGGTCGGCAACCTTTCAGAACTGGTGTGCCAAGTCTTCATTTATTCGCTGTAATTTAAGGTTTTGCATGCCAGTAATACATTTTACGTTTTCAGGGGCCACGGATGGAACTCCAGACTAGCAGCGGGCTGAGTGGGGCCGGGACCCCAGGCCGGCAGCAGGCTGAGCCGCTCAGCCCGCTGCCGGCCTGGGGTTCCGTCCGCCAGCTCCTGCCAGCCTGGGGTCCTGGCCGCCAGCCCTGCTCAGCCCGGTGCCAGGCTGGCAGTGGCTGAGCAGGGCCGGCGGCTGGGACCCCATGCTGGCAGCAGCGTGCCACTGTAAATCAGCTTGCATGCTGCCTTTGGCACGTGTGCCATAGGTTGCCGACCCCTGCTATAGGAACAGGACTTCAGCTTATACACAAACCACTGTTTTCAGTTGTTTCCTTCATCAATTTTGGGTGACCAGAAATGTGCACCAGCCCTTTAAATTGGTAGTTTTGGGGGCAATCAAATAAGATCCATTTGGAAAGGAAACCACTGTATATTCTTCCTGAATGAATAACTAAGTCTGAAAGCTGCCTTCTCAAGCTTTTCTGGGGCGACTTTAAGGAAGGGAGAAAAATTGATTCATATTTAAAATAGAAGAATAAGTTAATCAAAAACAGATGTCTCTGTATAAAATATGCAACAGGCAAGAGGATAGTGTTGTGTGCATTTTGTCCATTATCAAGCCCAAATAACTATTTTTAACAAACATTTAATATCCAGTGAAACTAAGGCAAAAAGGGAAACAAATTAATAGAAACAGATGTGCTGTGACCTGCTTCAAAAGTGACCCGTACTTGTTCCCCCTCCTCCCCTGTGTCCTGTAATCTGACATCTGTCTGAGGAATGTCCTCAAACATAGCCAATAATGTTAAGTGTTGAAATTTTAGATTTAGTTTGAAGTATTTTTCAGAATAAACAATCCTGGTATTAAAATGGTTCAAACTCCCAGCAAGTTTTTTGTTCTATATACTTGGAATGCTTGCAGTTAGGGAACTTCACTAACTGACTTCCCTTTTTAAAAATCAAACAAACAAACAAAAAAACTGTAAAGTTGTTTAATAGGGAGAATTTCTTCAGATTGAAGAACTTCTACATCTCTTTAGTTCCATCATTCCACTTCTGCATTAGCCAGCTTTCCCAAAATCGCAGTCCCCTTCAGAGCTCTTATAATACCCATAAGGTCCCCTTATAACCGGGGAAAAGTGTAGTGACTTGAATACATTTGGGGCCAGGTTCTGCCCTTTGACACATGCACAACATCCATTAAAGTCCCTGGAAGCTGTACGCACATTAGACAATAGTACTTGGTCCCTGACTTGGAAAATTGTTTTTGTCTATCACAAACAAAATTTATAATAGTATGAACAGCACTTCATTAAATACATACTCCATAGATAAACCGCAGCTTTCTCTGTTGAGTGAGTTGTAGAGAAGATGACTTTTTTGCTTTATATTCAGGGCTGTTTTTTTTTCCTGATTGTCTTTGGCCACAATATAATCAATCTTTGTTTAGTTAGCTCGAGTTCATTCAGACCATAGTTCTTGGACAGGCTTCTCTCTTGTGAGTAGCTGTGTTTAGTCAGAATACCCATTCTTAAACGATCACCCCAATATCTCCTTCCAGAAAGGTAAGTCTATTTGTGGGGGTGTGGGTGTGGGCATCAAGTACTTCCTCCATGACTGCCTACTTCAGGCAGGGAAAAGGCACCAAAATCCCATTTTCATTAAAATCTTTGTCTTTGAAACTTTTTATAAGGCATTGGCGTCTTTTCCAGGAACACTGACTAAACAACTTTTCCATAGAACCCTGACTTACACTAGAAGTAGCTTAAACAGCAGGAATAATTTAAAAGGAATTGCCTTTTTCTTCTGCCCAAGGGTAGTTTTTGAGTATGTGTATTTGTATTTAACTTTGTTACAAAGGACAATAAAACGGAGGAATTGAAGCATCTTGAGGTTAAATGGGAGCAGAAGCAAGATCTTGGCAGTATGGTATCATGTCAGCTTTGCTTTAGTTAAATACAAAACTAAAAAATTGCAACAGCCAAAAATTAAGTCTCAGGTTCATATCAAACAAGGGAAAGTAAGTGATATATATGTAATGTGTAGGCTCTGCAAGCTCACTTTTTCTCTAGACCAGTTTTGTCCTTCATATGACTTTCCTCAACTTGAGCTATTTTTGTCTGTAGTTGTAACATTTGACCATTGTTGCTCAAAATAAGATTTGTTACATGGGGCACTTACTTTTGGTATTATACATCTATACAGAAAAACAGATGGGTTGTGTTTGAAACTTAGACTTAGAACTCTGGTGTCTTTCCAAGTGTGGGGGGGGGGAGGGAGGAGAAGCTGCACAGACTCCGCCTATTGAAGGAGAATGTACTAAGGGTTTAGTTGCATTCAGCACAGACCAGGGTCTAAATGCCGCTTTGGTATCACTCCATTGACTACTTCAGTGGGGTTTGCTCAGACAGTGGCTGAACTGGCCTCTCCTTTGAGAAATCGCACTTGAGTGGGGTGGTTTGTTTCTCCCTTCACTCTTCTCAAACTGTCTTAGATTGACATCTTCATGGGGGAGGGAAGGGGGAGATGCAGAATTAGCTGAGTTGATTGTAGTGCATAAAAGCCCATCTAATCTGGATTCTGTGTGTCTTGGAGTTGGGTGGATGGTCTAGTGGTTATGGCACTAGCCTAGGATTTAGGAAACCTGGATTCAAGTCCCTGTTCTGCCATGGATTTCATTTCCTCTGAACTTGGTGTCTCTGTGCCTCGGTATCCCTATTTTACAGATTGGGGGAAATAGCACTTCCTTACCTCATAGGAGTATTGTGAGAATAAATACATTAAAGTTTGAAGAGCTCAGATACTATGGTACTGGGGGGGGGGTGTAAAAGTACTTAAAATAGATTAGTGTGGAAAAATAAAAGAATCTGTTAAATATCTAAAGATTTTGATCTTGAAATATTTGTAGCCTATGGCTAGCATTCAGGAATCTTGGCTTACCTCATCATTCCATCCCCATTTTCTCAGGAACCATGTCATTATGAACCCTTAAAAGCTATTTTCAGAAGTGTGTGTGTGTGTGTGTGTGTGTCTCCCATCCAGTACAAGATATCAGTGTAACTGCAGGTATTTTCTCCATTAACCCAGGTCCTGGGAACCCTACTTAGCTTCACCCTGATACCTCATAATGAGATACAAGGCCAAATCTTAAGTCAACTATACGTTTGCACATACACCTTCTTGTGTATGCCAGTGGCATGGGGGAGCAGGCAGGTTTGGGCTCCCCTTGTTGAATCATGGTTGCTACTGAATTACTTAATTCTAAAACTACAGTCTGCTTCCTACATAGTTTTTTAATGAATTTATAAACTCTCCATTTTAAACAATGGAACCAATGGCCTGCAGGCATATGTGCACCAGTGTTGTTGCAGTTCATGCACAAATGGTCAGTCATGGACCTAGGTATAGGCATTTGTGGGGGCCAGTAACCTTAAAAATCAGATCCTAACAAGTCACTAAAGCATATGTCTACGCAACAGCAGCTCAGCTATGGCGCTGCAGGTGCGCCACCGTAACACCATAGTGAAGATGCTTCCATCCATGTAGTTAATCCACCTCTCGAGCAATGGTAGCTAGATTGACAGAAGAATTCTTCCATTGACCTACTTGTGTCTACACAAGTGTAGACCAGGCCTAAGACTTATAAAAGCCCGACTTGCACTCACCTCTGTGGTGATTAGACACACAAACATAGCCATGTGAATTGACCTACGCTCTGTAGAAATTTGCTGCTGTATGCTCTAGCTAAGTGAGTGACTGAAATACCAAGTCTTGGGGCTGTCTGTGCTTGTGAGGTTTGTGGTCATGGTGTGGGTGGGACCTAAAAGCCTTGGTGTGTGCAAAGGCCAGATACTTCAGACAGCTGAACTGAAAAATCTGTTCTCTTATGGAGCCCAAAATATACTCCGGCTATAAAATACACCTGATGTATATACTTAGTGAGACACTCCTTCTAAGCATTTTCCATTTCAAAGTATTCATAAGTAGCTTGTTGAAAGATAATGGGAAATAGAGAAGGTTAAAAGTTTAACAATAAGAAGAACAGGAGTACTTGTTTAACAATGTAATTCATTCAGTATTCCAGGTACTAAGTCTGGTTTTTGTGACTGTCATAAACATACATAATATCAGAATCCAAGATATTTATCTTTTGGACCTCTAGCTGTTTGAGGACATTAGATGTAGGACGTGAATACAACCTATTGCATCTGCCTTGTTACCTCATACTATTGATCTAACAGTGCTCATTGTTAAGTGGAGCTTTAAAGACAGCATTGCTATGGGAAGTTTCCCATAACTGCTATTATTTTATTCTATTTTCATACTCTTTTGCCATATTTTATTAGGCATAAGGGCCCAGTGGGGTTAGAAGTACTGTAAAATATATAATTTCTGTTTGGGGGGAGAAGGGGAAAGAATAATCTCTGTAGACAAAAACCCATTTATCATAGTCTGAATGTCCTTTCACTGGCATTGGATTTCCAGGACTGAAAAAAGATATAACTGCATGTTGAAATCTTGTCCATACTTACAGGTGTCTAGAGTTAAAAGTTTAAAAGTCTTTAAAACCACATGGAGTCCCACATCTCCTTTTTGGCTTAAACATCTGTTTGTTCTAAAACTCTATTTGAATGCAAACCTTCCCAGGAAGCTAATACA